GTTTGTTTAATCATTTTCAATATTCATAGAAAAGATAAGTCAAACGAGCCTTCCAAAAAAGTATTGTAAAATAATATTAAAAAAAATTTTATCAATTGTGTAACAATTTTATGACGTTCAAACGTTTCCTTCTGTTGCATGAAACTCAAAATTGCAGATCATTTGGCCAGATTTAGAACAACCCAACTTAATCTGGTCAAATGATCTTCAATTTTGACCAGAATTATGGATCAAATTAGGCGATGCAGATCAGCCGATGTGCTATCTCGTCGAATAAAGTATTAAATATTATCGTTATTATTATTAGCCAGGGCATTAAAAATCCGGCATCGGCTACAATTTAGCCGGCTAGCTAAGCCGCTCGGCCAGCTAATATCGGCTACGGCTAATAGCCGGCTATAACCGGCTATAGCCGTAGCCGTTCCCATCCCTAGTTTTGGCGGTCCTTGTGATGATCTTACACGGTAAATAATTTAATCAAAATGATGTTTTTAGTAGTTCATATGAAAAAGCAATTAAAATATAGGCCGTTCGTTTTCAATATCAGAATACGAGATACTCCAGATTCAAAGAAATAAAACAGTCAAGTAAGTTATTCAAATATGAGACAGATTTTATATATTTATTCTATTATGAACTTATTTATACGACAGATATTAAACTTTGTATTCTCAAGTTTAAGCATCTTTTCCTTTTAATTTGGCAATCCCGATGGCTATCTATTTAGTTTGGGTGTTTATTGGTGGAACGTAATTCTATTCCAGCATGTTTTTTATTTAATAACAATGAGCTTCAATATCAGTTAATTGCATGATATGAGCTAAAGATCACCATTTTATAATCTAATTCACTTGTAAAGTTATATTATATTCCTAATTTGTGCTTAAATTTGTATTTTTAATCGGAAGTTCTTTTTTCCATTTATTTGGCATTTTTTCTTTATTCTTAACAAAGATTCTCACGGCTTCGTTAGTATGATATTGAATATATAACTGATTTTTTAAAAAATGATAAAATTTGTATAAATTCATTTTCGTTCGTACTCGATTGAGTTGATCAGGAAATTTTCGTTAATTATGTCTACGTATCCTATTTATAAATTCGTAATTACATAGCGGATGGTTCTGGAAAAAAAAAAGTTTGTTATATAAGTTATTTTCCTAAGAATTCAAGGCAATCCTAAGATAACTATTGTGATATCCAGCGTTTTGGGGTATATAGTCATTGCTCGGTCACATGATTACTGCCCATTCAAGATGGAATAGCCATATCACTAGTTTTCAGCGTTCAAAAAAAATTTTATTCGGACCGCACCATGACTATGGTACCACATTGAAAACTCGTATTGTATTTCTATGGTTTGTGGTACAATCAATTCTTGTTAATCTCGTTATGGAAGTAAACTTCACACTTTGTTGTGGCTATAAAGAAAAATAAATTCAGGTCTTTAAAAGAAATATCGTTATTATCCGCATACGGTTTAGTGTTCATGTGTTAGCGGTAGGGAATAATAGAGACCTGCAGGATTGCTTATTGTCTCTGCATGCTGATTCACAAATTATTAAGAAAGATGCATAGTTACTTCAGGTATCCCTCCTAATTTAGATCAATTTCGTTTTTTTTTGGCTGCTATTCATATCATGGTATTTTTGTAATACAACGTGTATTCGCATAATTTTTTTTTTTAGACGAACTTCGAAACTCTAGTCATTATCTTTTGTAAAACTATGATCGCGTGGCTCGAAAAAACTGTTTCCGAAGGTCATATTAATAAAATTAAATTTAAACAGTTCACTAAACGTTTAAGTATCGATGAGGGAAATTCTGGTGTTATATATAAAAGTGAATGGAAAGATAACGAATTAATAGTCGCCCTTAAATGTCTTAATATCAATGTAAATTCAAATGAAAAGGCCATACAAAAATTTATCATAAAGGTAATTTTATTATTCTTAAGATTTTAAGTCTTTTCCAAATTATTAAATTGTATGTTATATATATGTATATATTTTCTTATAAAGCTTAAGCAATTACAAAGAGTTTGTTGCCATCCAAATATTACTGGATTTTACGGTATCACAAGCGGTATGCATTTTTACACGTAATTTTGCAGTATAGCGATAAACTTATTTTTTATATTATTAAATATATAAATATTAATATATCTTTAAAATATTTATATTAAAAATAGATGATATTAATTATTATATGGTCTTAGAATTTGCTGGCAATGGAAACTTACGAAAATATTTGGAAAAAAACTTTATGAATTTGCAATGGACGGATAAATTACGTATTGCAAAAGAAATAGTAATGGGTCTTATGTTCTTACATAATAATAATATTGTTCATCAGGACCTTGTAAGTTCTCTTCATTTTATTTGCATAATATTGAACTAGTTAATCGCAATTTGTATACTAAAATAACTATATTTTATAGCATTCAAAAAATATTTTAATTAGTCAAGGACGAATGAAGATTACGGATTTTGGACTGTCAAAGCGGGCAAATGAGGTTTTAATATCTTCAAGCTCCGAGATGCCGGCATACATAGAACCTCTATGTTCTGCTAATAAAACGTATAGATGTGACAAAAAATCCGACGTTTATAGCCTTGGAGTAGTCCTTTGGGAAATTTCAAGTGGCAAGCCACCATTTCAATTTTTTGAACCGGCTGTTAATCTTCATTTACATATATATCAAGGAAATAGAGAGGATCCAATAGAAGGCACTCCATCTAAATATGTCGAACTTTATCAAAAATGTTGGAATAACAATCCTTACATTCGCCCAGAAACAAAATTAATTCTTGAGACTTTAAATCAGCTTATCTCTGACAATGAATCGTCTAAAAATAATGTTGAAACTTTGCATTCAAATAGTCAAGATAATATAATACGCCCATATTTAGATATCACACCTTCAAATTCACCAGCAAAATCACCATCAGAATCACCATCAAATTCGTCATTAGAATCACCGTCAGAATCGTCATCTGAGTCATTTAGGTCACATGGTACAAATATCTACGATCATTTGAATGAGAATCAATCCCAAAGCACAAATTTACCTCAACAATTACATACTTTAGAAATAGGAAAATATGAAGAAATTCTTTCGGATTTAAATAAATCATTAGAAATTGATCCTAATGATTTAGTTACATTAAGACATCGTGGTGTGACTTACCGAAAGATGGGAAGATATGAAGATTCACTTGCTGATTTCAATAAATTATTAGGACTTGATCCAAATAATGCAAAAGCATTAAGAAATCGTAGCGAAACTTATAATGAGATGAATAAATTTAATGAATCTCTTATTGATTTAAATAAATCTTTAGAAATTAATCCAGATGATATAACAGCATTAGCTAATCGTGGATTAATTTATAAAAAAATGGGTAGATTTGAAGATTCTTTAGCCGATTTTACAAGATCTTTAGAATTCACTCCAAATGATGATGATAAAATAGTTTATAATAAAATATTAGGTATTCGTGGAATAATTTATCGAGAAATGGGTAGATATGAAGAATCACTTATGGATTTAAATAAAGCATTAGAAATCTTACCTAATGATGCTCTAATGTTAAGTACTCGTGGATTTACTTATCAAAATATGCGTAGATATGAAGATTCAATTGCTGATTATAATAAATCTTTAGAACTTTTACCTGATGATGCTGTTACTTTAAATAATCGTGGCGCAACTTATCTTTGTATGGGAAGATATGAAGATTCACTTGCTGATTATAATAAATCTTTAGAAATCAATCCAAATAATTTATCTGTATTAGGTAATCGTGGATTAACTTTCCAAAAAATGGGTAGATATCAAGAATCAATTGATGATTTAAATAATTCTTTAGAAATTGATCCTGTTAACGCTGCTGTATTATCAACTCGTGGAATAAGTTATTATAAAATGGGTAAATATAAAGAGTCGCTTGCGGATTTAAATAAATCGTTGGGAATTGATTCAAATGACGGATCATCTACATTATGTTAGAAATAAGTCAATGGGCTGTAAAAGGTGTTGATAATATAGAAAATATAGAAAATATATGGTGAAATTTTTTTTATTTTATGATTAAAAAAATTAAATGATAAAATTTGTTTCAATCGTTTATATGATATTTGTAATTGACAGGACTAAAGTATAAAATATAATAAAATTTAAAATGAACAATTGTATTTGATCGGTTGATTGGTTTTCGTTATGTAATGATTATGACGGTATGAGCTCGCTTATAAATCATTATGAACAGTTAATTTTTTTCTTAACGATTTTAATTGCATCGTTATGAACATATTCGAACTTAAAGATAACTATCCTGTAATCGATATAATACGTCGCGTGGGTAACCATAATTGTCCGAAGCGTAGCTGAGGACACTATACTTCTAGACATTTGAAATCTGTCAGATCCCGTGATGACTCCGCGTAATTACCCACCAAAAATTCGTACTACATGACGCGTCTAATACAACAACCCAAATTTGCTGCCGAATGAATTTACTGAATAATTCGAATAACTATAATTATCCGGCAGCTTATTATGATTGTGCTGCCAAAATAACTCGAGTTATTTGGCAGTGATACGTCATCTGCCAAA